TAATTTGTTTGTTTGCCCTTCGGCCTATTTTTAAGCACAGCGCCAGGCCAGGGAATTGTGCCAGCAAGTTACTAGTAAACAATTAAAGTAAAGAGAGTTTTCTTTGCGAAGCTGTGTCTTCATGTGCCCAGTGGTGATTCAACAGCAGTCTTCCAAAACACAGACCCACACAAGGGTACCTTTTTCACTCCGCAGTATTAATGCCCTGTTTCTTTCTTTCTTTAATAGAGAGAGCACCCATCTTGGAGATAAACAAAAAGCAGATCAAGATAGGACCAGTGCCCAAAGGGAGCCATCTGTGGAAGCATCAGTAAATATGATCAGTGATGGATGACTTTGGACAGGGAGCAAAGAGATTATCCTTTCTGTCACAGATATCTTAGATTTTATGAGTGGCAGAAATGGGTTGTCGGAGGCCTGTGAAGGAAACTAGGAAAGCTACCATTTAGCAGTTTGGTAGAAAAGCTGCATCGAGAAATTATTATGGGGTGTAAATGCTAAGTATTTTGAATAATTGTAATACAGTTGGCAGATAGAGATGTGGAAATACTTCTCTGTCTCTCCCCCTATTTGTTTTCCTCATCTTTCTGTCTTTTTAACTCTGTTCTGTGTTTTTTTCCTCTCTCTCTCTTTTTCTTGCTTTCTGTATTACTATTTTTTTAACTCTGTATCGGATCTGTTTGGTTTTTATTGCACTATATTTTGAAAGCATATAAAAAAAAGTTATGGGGGGAAACAAAGAATTAGCTCCGAGAGAATTATTTAGTTGCTTACATTTATAAAGTGCTTTATGGAGATGCAGGTTCCCACAGCACCTCAGGCAGAAGATTCCAGAATTTGGGAGCCATTACTTTCAGTCAGTTGACTCTTGAGTAAAACTTGGCTGGATGCAGTTAACCACATTTACTGTTGCTTTTCTTCAGCATTGCATCATAATAGTAATGATAGAGTTCTGTTTCCTTAGAGAGCATGGGTAGGCAAACTAAGGCCCGAGGGCCGGATCCGGCCCAATTGCCTTCTAAATCCGGCCTGTGGACGGTCTGCGAATCAGCATGTTTTTACATGAGTAGAATGTGTCCTTTTGTTTAAAATGCATCTCTGGGTTATTTGTGGGGCATAGGAATTCGTTCATTTCCCCCCTCAAAATATAGTCCGGCCCCCCACAAGGTCTGAGGGACAGTGGACCGGCCCCCTGCTGAAAAAGTTTGCTGACCCGTGCCTTAGAGTCTGTCTGTCACAACAGCTTACAAAGCTGAAGGGCACGTTTTGAGAATGGTACACAATGCGCTCTTCCTTGGATAATGTTCTTTGGAATGCAGGTGGAAGATGTTTTGCCATAAACCTGTGTGGCTTATAAACCACCAAATTGAACGGTGCCCTCCAGTCATGTGATTCCCACCAAGGTCCCTGCTGCCTGCCTGGGCTTACGAAACAGTGTGGTTGTCAAGCCCCTTAGCAGGCCGCAGCGCATGGCTGACAATGTGCTCTGTTCAACCCTGTAGGTTGCAGGTTCCACTGATCCAGAAACAAAGGGATATTTGCCAACCCGCTGGAAACAAAAAAAAGGCAAATAGAAGGAAAACATCCCAAGGAACTGGGTTTTTAAATAAGGAAGAAAGAAGTGTACTTGATGCATTTTGAGTTTGCTGCTCTTTTATCGTGGGTAGTATTTTGCCGCTCCTTTAATAAGAGAGACAGGTAATTTTCTTTCGTCTTTCCTGTCTGTTTCCCGCCACGGATGCCAGGCCTGTCAATGTGTACTTTCCACTTCCTTTAATTACAGAATAACAGCCTCTCCTTTAAAGAAGGAAGAAAGCTTCAGGTGGAAATCCAATGCAGTGAAATGAACTCCACTCTTTTAAGGGACTGAACAGCTACGGTTGATATTTTAGCTGCCACAGCAATCCCCGGGTTGTGTGCTGGGTACACAACAGTGCCATAGAGAAGCAGATTAGGTATTTCTTCACGCCCACAGCACCAGATGACTGAGGAGGCTCTGTGTCCCTGTATGATTTGCTGGCAGATTACATGCTTTGCATGCGGAAGGTCCCAGGCACCTCCAGCTGGGACTGGGAAAAGTGCTTGTCTAAAAATCTGGAGATCTACCACCCACGAGTGGCATCTGCCCTGTGGGAAGGAAGAAGAAGCCAAGGGAGGAAGACAAAGACAACTTCAGGGCCTGCTCCACTTGGACTCTCCTTCCCCACCCCACACCCCGAATTTCCATTTTCTGTCATTCATCTGTTTGGGTCTTTTAAAATTGCAAATTGCTTTGGGTGCCTTGGCAGAAAGGCCAGTCTATAAATGCAATAAATAAATAATATTGAACTAGACCAGTGTTTCCCAAACTTGGGTCTCCAGCTGTTTTTGGACTACAACTCCCATCATCCCTAGCTAGCAAGACCAGTGGTCAGGGATGATGGAAATTATAGTCCAAAAAATGAATGGAACACTGAAGTTGATTAATCTAGTGGTCTGGCGTGGTAGAAGGCAGCTTAGGAAACAAGACGCTGGATGCTTTTTATAATCGGAGCTCAGTCTGTCTAGCTCAGGCGCTGTATATGCACCAGACACTAAAGCTCCATCCTGAATCCTGGGAGCTGTAGTTTAAGGGTGCTGGGAATCGTAACTCTGTGCATGGTCAACTACAGCTCCCGAAACTCTTGGAAGTGGAGGGAGGTGTACTTTAAATGTACAGACTCTGAGTATTGTCTACAATTATATTGACTGAAAGTGGCTCTTTTTTCGTGCAGAAGTCTCTCCCATCTGTTCCTGGACACACCAGGGATTGAAACCTGGGATTTCTGTATCCAGAGCATGTCCTCTAGCCTTGGGCTATGGTCTTTCCCTTTTCTGTGCTCCAGTTCTGCGTCCCAAGCCTGGACTCTGTTCTCTTGGCTCATAACCTTTCCCTCTTTCATTCAGGGTATCCTGTCTCCACACAGCACCTGTGCTTTAGGAAGGGTTACAGATCGGTCCATAAAAGCATCTTCCTGTTTGCCAGCGGTGAATTTACCTGAGTATGGAAGTTTCCATCAGAAACTTTTAGAAAAAGAAAAGGAACTCCCTGCTGTTTTTGAACACATTTAGCTCCAAATACAAAAACAGAGGCCAAATGGAGCACATCAGTTTCGATTAGCACATAACAGCCCCAGCAGCCAAAGGCCTGAGAACTCCCGTCACAGCTCTCTGCTATATCCTGGAATTATTCTGTTCTCCAAACTTCTAGCTAAGCTGCTGCTTCTGGCAAATGTTTCTTAGGCTCAAGGATGAAGAATTAGAATTTTCACTTGTTTGGGGGAAAGTTAAAGAAACAGCCAAACGCTGTTTAATCTCTGAAATAAGGAACTGTGGTGTGATTTACTTTTGCTTTGTGTTTCTAAAAAAGGAATGGAGCCTGATTAAAGCTGCACTCCTAAGCATGCGTGCAGCAATTCACATCCACATCAGAAGCAAAGTCCTTTGGGCAGTGTAAGGTTTTGCACTTAGAGAAGCGGGTTTGCTGTTAAGTACATAGGATAGCTCCTCCTCCTCCTCCTCCTCCTCTGTGCACTGCACTTTACAAAGCACAAGTTAACAGGATCCCACCCCGGGGGCTTGCATGGCAGAAACAGACACAAGGAAACGACAGAGGAAGGAGGAGGGAATAGAGACAGAAGTAAACAAGGGAAGAATACGCCACTGTTTCAATCATGTGTTATTTGGCTGAGCTTCAGTAGGGTGTTGGGACACCATGATATGTATATTTGTTGCTGTTGTTGGCACCCGTCCGTTTCGAGAGAAAATGGAGTGTGCCTCTGGGGTGTGTGTGTGTGTGTGTGTGTGTGTGAAGTCGAACCACAGTACCAAAGTGGCCTCCATGTGGTGCAAGCCTGGGCGGTATGTATGGAGGTTCTAGGCTGCCAAGATGGCAAGACCCCCCTCTCAGCCTCGCTGATGTGACCCAAAGGAAAGCAGAGCAATATGTTTGGCACCAGCTTGGCTGCAGGAGTTTCCAGAAGGAGGCATACAAGGCGCCACTCATCCGCCTTAGGGACTCCACTTCAGATTTATGTAGCGGTTTACTCCTTAGCCTTTTCTTCTCCTGAAAATATCCCACAAGTTGACGAGCCCCATCTGTCTCTCAGTTCTCTCTACAGCACATGCAGAAATCTCCTCCTTGACCATAGGACCCATTGGACAAGACCCCATTGGTCTTGTCTCCTCAATCCGCCTGAGCCTGTATTCACATGTAAGGGAAGCCCCTAACCCACCAAGGGTTTGAGACCCATCGTCTCCCATCACCTGGTTCAGCCGGTCAGTCGAAGCCATTCTTTGAGTGTGGCCGCTGTCGCATGGTGACAGCTTCTGGGGGCCACAAGTGAGAGCTGAGTGCAGGGTGGGGAACAAAGGTGGACAGACTACCCCACAAGGAGCATGATGTATCCCCCACCCAGATGTACTGCTTCTCCCCTAACACCCCTGTTGTTGTTGTTGGTTGGTAGTTGTTTAGTTGTGTCCGACTCTTTGTGACCCCATGGACCAGAGCACGCCAGGCACGTCTGTCTTCCACTGCCTCCTGCAGTTTGGTCAAACTCATGCTGGTAGCTTTGAGAACAGTATCCAACCATCTCGTCCGCTGTCGTCCCCTTCTCCTTGTGCCCTCCATCTTTCCCAACAGCAGGGTCTTTTCCAGGGAGTCTTCTCTTCTCATGAGGTGGCCAAAGTATTGGAGCCTCAGCTTCAGGATCTGTCCTTCCAGTGAGCACTCAGGGCTGATTTCCTTCAGAATGGATAGGTTTGATCTTCTTGTGGTCCATGGGACTCTCACCCCTACACCCCATTAATTGACAACCCCCCTGACCTTGTTGACTTAAGATTTCTTCAGTCAGATGACAGCCCAAATAATTATATCTAGGAACATGGGGAGCTACTTTATACTGAGTTGGTCCAGTGGTCCATCTAGCTTACACTGACAAGCAGAAGCCTTTTCCAGGGCATCAGGCAGGGGTCTCCCCCAATGGCTGGGGTTGCTGGGGATTGAACCTTAGACCTTCTGCATGCAAAGCAGATGCTCTGCCACTGAGTTTCCCCACATGTCACATAGTGCCTGGAGGCAGTTGGAGGATGGATGGTGGGTAACAGATTGAGGTTGAATCCTGACAAGACAGAAGTACTGTTTTTGGTGGACAGGGGGCAGGTGGGTGTGGGGGACTCCCTGGTCCTGAATGGGGAAACTGTGCCCCTGAAGGACCAGGTGCGCAGCCTGGGAGTCATTTTGGACTCACAGCTGTCCATGGAGGCGCAGGTTAATTCTGTGTCCAGGCCGGCTGTCTACCAGCTCCATCTGGTATGCAGGCTGAGACCCTACCTGCCTACGGACTGTCTTGCCAGAGTGGTGCATGCTCTAGTTATCTCCCGCTTGGACTACTGCAATGCGCTCTACGTGGGGCTACCTTTGAAGGTGACCCGGAAAATGCAATTAATCCAGAATGCGGCAGCTAGACTGGTGACTGGGAGTGGCCGCCGGGACCACATAACACTGGTCCTGAGAGATCTGCATTGGCTCCCAGTATGTTTCCGAGCACAATTCAAAGTGTTGGTGCTGACCTTTAAAGCCTTAAATGGCCTCGGCCCAGTATACCTGAAGGAGCGTCTCCACCCCCATCGTTCTGCCTGGACATTGAGATCCAGCACTGAGGGCCTTCTGGCGGTTCCCTCTTTGTGAGAAGTGAGGTTACAGGGAACCAGACAGAGGGCCTTCTCGGTAGTGGCGCCCGCGCTGTGAAACGCCCTCCCTTCAGATGTGAAGGAAATAAGCAGCTGAAGGCAGCCCTGTTTAGGGAAGTTTTTAATATTTAATGCTGTACTGTTTTTAACACTTGATTGGGAGCCGTCCAGAGTGGCTGGGGAAACTCAGCCAGATGGGCAGGGTATAAATAATAAATTTATTATTATTATTATTATTATCATTATTAAACACAAACGGGATGGGGGCTATGTTAGCAGAATCATCCTTGCCCTGCCTGGTGAGCCAGTCTGCAAGGGCCCCTCCTGGGAAGTCGTTCTTGGAAGGCGCTGTGTTTATATGAAGGGAATTATGGCTGGGAAAAGGCTGTGAATCATGTCAAACAGCAGATGAATCTCATGGAGAGGCAAATGCAAATGCTGCGCTTGTCCATTAAGTTCTATTAATGTTCCTGTTCTGGGAGTCGATACCCAGCGCTTTACTGGAAGACGTTTGCCGTCCTCCCGGCGGGGCTTGGGAAGCTGCACTTTAGATGGGCGCAAGGGAGATGTTGCGAGTGCCCTCTGACACTCGGCCGCATTAGCTCTCCTTGCTTTCATGCACACATTACAATGCGGTAATGAGGTTCTTGGGTCTAATGGGGGGGGGCGTTTCTGGCCTTTGCAAAGAAGCCACAGGAAAGCCAGCAGCTGCTTAGCAAGGCCTGAGCTCCCTCTGCTGCCCCTGTGCTCATATTAACCATGGCTGCTACCATAGCTCTGCTCCACATCAGTAGCGCCAGTCTGGGGAACTCAAGCCAAGGACCACAGTCCAGGGCTGGTGGCTTTATTTTTTCCTGGGTTGCAGCCAGGACTCTTGCAATACTCAGGTCTGTCTTGCATTAAGGGCTGGATTTCATAGATTCTCCTTCATCAAGTTGGATTTCGTTGCTGCAGCCACAGCAAAGAGTCTTCAGAGATTTGTTTTGTGGCATAAACTTCTTGCACAGCAGTGTCTGTTTGTGCATCTGCCGAGAATTGTGCCACTGTTATCTTCAAGATGCTTTTTTTGGCAGGTGCTCATCTGTTTGTTTATTATTTATTTCCTGGCTTTTAATCTCACCTTTCCTCCAAAGTGTTCAGGCTGGTATATGCATCGTTCTCTTCTTCCTGTTTGCTGTAACGGATATAACAAAAGGTTGCCCCTTTTGAATTTACATCGCCATTTGCTGCTATTATTTATTTACTTTATTTCATTTCATAAAATTCATCTGCCGTTTGATTGCAAAAAAACAAACCACACTTTCAAAGAAGTTTACAAAAAGATAAAACAAGAAAATCAAGGGGAGGGGAATCACAACTCTACTTTAAAGCATACAAAAGTTAAAATACTAAAGGAGATTGATATTACCGTAACTATCTAACAATCTGGGTTGGCTTCTTTAAACAAGAATGTTTTTAGCAGGTGCCAAAAAGAATATACAGTTATACCTCTTGTTACGTTAGCTTCAGGTTAAATCTTTTCAGGTTGCGTCTTGCGGCGACCTGGAAGTACCGGAAAGGGTTACTTCCGGGTTTTGCCACTTGTGCATGCGTAGATACTCAAAATGACATCACGCGCATGTGCAGAAGCGGCGAATCGTGACCTGCACACGCGCAGACACGGGTTGCGTTCTGCTCATGTTGCAAATGGGGCTCCGGAACAGATCCCATTCGCAACCTGCTTGAAATCAATAGGCAGGGAGTTCCGACGTGCAGCTGCTGCCACACTAAACCATCAAGTTCTTACCAATGCAGAATGGGTATTATGTGGCATCTGTAGAAGTGCCAGTTCTGCCAAGTGTTCAGGCATCGCTTTAACTTGTCCTCTAGCAGCTTGTTAAATCTCTTTATGCTGGATATCCTTTTCTAGGGCCAGACTAGGATTTCAAAATCAGAAACTTTTGCCAGTTGCTGCTATGACTTCAAACAGCATGTGCAGTAATGGCACTGTGCACATGAGTATAGTCCTCTGCACATTTACCTTGGGAATAAGTTCCATTAATGGGACTTACTTCTAAGTAAACATGTATAGAAATGCACTGCAGGAGACTGTGCTACGGATCAGGAAGTTCTTGCCTCTTCCGTGAACCACTAGGTGGTCTTGTTGTTGTTTTTTAGTTGTGTCCGACTCTTCGTGACCCCATGGACCAGAGCACGCCAGGCACGTCTGTCTTCCACTGCCTCCTGCAGTTTGGTCAAACTCATGCTGGTAGCTTCGAGAACAGTATCCAACCAGCTCGTCCTCTGTCGTCCCCTTCTCCTTGTGCCCTCCATCTTTCCCAACAGCAGGGTCTTTTCCAGGGAGTCTTCTCTTCTCATGAGGTGGCCAAAGTATTGGAGCCTCAGCTTCAGGATCTGTCCTTCCAGTGAGCACTCAGGGCTGATTTCCTTCAGAATGGAGAGGTTTGATCTTCTTGCAGTCCATGGGACTCTCAAGAGTCTCCTCCAGCACCATAATTCAAAAGCATCAATTCTTTGGTGATCAGCCTTCTTTATGGTCCAGCTCTCACTTCCATACATCACTACTGGGAAAACCGTTTTACCTAAAAGGTGATCTTAGGTAAGTCTGTTTCAGTCCGCAGCCTCTGCAATATGGGCAAGAATAATACTGATTTACTTTGCAGGGTTGTTGTAAAGTTTACAAGTAGATAATGCACCAAAGTGCTTTTGAGCACTAGGAAGTGCTGTAAAAGGTAAAGGTACCCCTGCCCGTACGGGCCAGTCTTGCCAGACTCTAGGGTTGTGCGCTCATCTCACTCTATAGGCCGGGAGCCAGCGCTGTCCGCAGACACTTCCGGGTCACGTGGCCAGCGTGACAAGCTGCATCTGGCGAGCCAGCGCAGCACACGGAACGCCGTTTACCTTCCCGCTGGTAAGCGGTCCCTATTTATCTACTTGCACCCGGGGGTGCTTTCGAACTGCTAGGTTGGCAGGCGCTGGGACCGAACGACGGGAGCGCACCCCACCGCGGGGATTCGAACTGCCGACCATGCGATCGGCAAGTCCTAGGCGCTGAGGTTTTACCCACAGCGCCACCCGCGTCCCACTAGGAAGTGCTGTACACACCTGTTAAGTTTTCATAATGATGATTCTGTTTTCAGTCCTCCACTAATGTAACCCTTTCAGTTAAGAGGGTTAAGAAGATCTTGTACATTAAGAAAATCTTGTACATGGAATTTCTCTGGGAAGATTATACAAAACCAGTAGCTTCTCAAGAGAAGCACACTCTTCTCTGGATGGCATTTGAATTTCCAGATTCCTGACAAGTAAACAAACAGGGGAAGTAATCATCACGCTTCGTGCAGAGCTGAGGAAATGAGAAGTGAGAAGAAGTGAAAGTGACCCATTTGCTAGATGGTATTTCAAAATTCAAGTGCGAAAGGAAGCAGGAAGTGAGCGCTGACAAGCTCCTTGGACAACTTGTGTTGGGAGCTCTTTGTGCTTGTGGTGTCTTATGTTGAGCTAGAGCTGGCAGGTGTCTTGCAGCATCCAGGCAATGTCGGAGACTTGAGATGCAGAGATTTGTGATGTCACGAGGCATCAGGGACTGGTGATGATTCAGGGTTGCCAGTTTTCAAAAGTGAAAGATGTGGCCCACCAGTGAAAGAGAGGTACCAGATATAAGAAGAGTCAGAAAAATCGTGGAGGTAGTGGATTAATTTTCTACATGTTTTCTGTTTTGAATAGCACTCTCCTTTTTATTGTACTGTTGACAACGGCCTTTGCCCAAGCAGTAAAGATTTGAGTTTGAATTCTTATCGGGGGTGTGTGTGTGTGTGTAAGAGGATTTCTCTCTATCGCCCCTGGTGATAAAACCTTAAAATTTCTTATGCAGCATTTTCTCTCAGCACGATAACATTAACACTGGCTGTATACTTCTACATTTGATAGTAAAAAATCTTCATGATTGCTACTGGATTTTTCTGGATTTATTGCTAAATGGTCAACTCTGTTAGGCCTTTATGTTGGAAAAATAGTTCCAAAAGTTGCAAAATGAAGAACACTTATTTGGTTGGAATTAGCAGACAGGGAAGCATCCAGCTTGTGCTATTGATTTAAACATAGTTGCCCTGAAGCCAGAAGAGGAAACCTCAAAACCTGGGTCTCTGGAACGATGTCTCAGACCTAGCAACCCTATCCTGTGCTCTCAACCTGGTTATGTTTGCATGTGTGAGTTCCTTAGTAACATGATTTCTGTGGTTCTCAATTTGATGCTGTCACTTGTTTGCATGGTTATAAGAAGTTCTTGCAATTGGAAGGTTTCCCCCTAAAGGTTCAGGGACTGGGAGCACTTTAAATTTACTTTGGAGCTATTTAACGATTAGAG